TCTCAAAAAATACTGCTGAAAATGGATAAACAAGAGTTAACATCTTAAAAAAAAAAGTTAACATCTAAAGAATATTAAAAGGGTAACTCTGCTCTTTTCAGTTACCTTTAGGTATGTATCTCTAATTTAAAGAGATCTTAAAAGGATTCATCTTTAAATGGATCTGAAGCTTATCTTCTAGTCTTCAGGCATCCCCTGACCATAACCACCTGAGGCCTTAACTCTCAACACTGGGTGAGTTGCATTAGGACCATCTCCAGCCTCCCAATTTTAAGCCGGCAGAGGCTGAGATCCATGCACACGTGTAGCCACACAGAATTTGCAGGGCCGACAATACCTGAATCTATACAATTCCAAAGCCCAGACCTTCCCACTGCACTGCAGGCATCCACCTTTACCCTATCCAGGACACAGAAACACAGAAAATATCTACATGAGCTTATTCGACACAAAGTGGAAGAAACCCATGGAGACATCCTCATGATAAGAGGAACAGGGTCCCCTGGGCCGACTGAAGTCACAGGCAGGCAAGATTTAGGATAAAGGTGCTCCATATGCCACAGAGCAGACATAGCCTAGGAGACAGAGAGGTACAAAAAAAATTAATGAACACAAACCCCAGTTAAATAGTCAGGAGACCAGAAGGGGGAGCTCTCACACCTGCAACAATAGCAGAGCCCGATAGCAAAAACACACTCTTCTTTCCCAGTGAGGACTCAGCCAATGAAAAGCCATGGACTCTGTTCACTACAGCCCCACCAACTCTCCTGTCCCCTCTATAAAAGAGTTCTCCTTCCCCTGCCCTTCAGGGACTTGCAAGTGGTTCTCTATGGTTTCAGACCCTGAACTGTAATTCTCTGCTGATCCCAAATAAACCCATCTTGGCTGGAGAAATATGACAGTCTATTTGTTTCAGGTCAACAGAGGGAAGGGAGTCAACACAATTACGGGACCCTGGGACGACTCAGAAAGACAAATCATCCACCTGACTCATCTGAATGGACACTAATTGACACCTCTCAGGCCAACCAGACTCAGGACTATAAAGACAAAATTAAAAAATCAAGAATAAATGACAGGAGATAAGCTTAATATGTTACACTGTTTATTTCATTCTAAGGACTTAGTAGTAAATTTTAATACACCTTTGCAGTGTTCTGCATCTTGTTTGGGGCTGGATTTGTATAAAATTACCAAAACTTATCAAATAAACACTTAAGAAAGGGGAACAGGCTGAGGCCACAGAAAGAGCCCTGGGAAACTCACCCAGCCTCCACCCACAACATTGGATTTCTGACTGTTAATAAACAAGATTAATACAAGGCTGTTCTGAAAACGGTGCAAAGAAGCCAAGTTTGAAATGAAACATTTCTATGCATTCACGGTCACAGTGACTGAGGGCCTAACACAACCAACCTCTCTAAAACATTAGGGCAGTCAGTCAGTTCAAATCCCCCCATGTCATCATCTTTCTCTGAGAGTCTGTCTTGACACTAGTGGCAGCTTCCACAACTGCCCTCCCTTTGCAAGGTGACAGTTCACTGACTGAGACATGGCCAGTGCCGGGGCAATGAGGATTTAACCACTCTCTGATGGGCCAAGTGCATCTGGCCTGAGTCTAGCCAATCAACTCTCATTGCTGGGGACAAGTCTTGCGCAAACCCAACATGCTGGCCTCTGGGACAAGGATGGCCAGAGAAATGCAGAGCACACCCCAGAGGCCTGCAGCGCAGGAGAGCAGGGACATTGCCAGGAGAGTCTCAGCAGACTGGATCATCTAGTACCCAGCTGGACGGTTCGTAAACTATGCCACTTATTTCCAATAATGGGGATAAGTAAGAATTATTCAATAAATCATGAGGGGGAAATAGACTGTTTCAGGAAAAAATGGGGCCTAATATATCAAACATTAAAAAAAACTCTAGCTACCTTTACTGTTAAAAATGAAACAAGAGTTAAAATGAAATGCTTATGGAGACTTAGATGGTGCTGGGATTTAAAAAAGACATTACAAAAGCAATAGAAACCAAAAAGAAAAGCTCAATATAAATAATGATCTAATTTAAAACCTCTAAACTAAATTAAGAGACAAATGAAAATCTGGAAAAATACTATACACACTATTACAAGTTATTTTGAAAATATAAATGCCTAATGGGAAAATATCTATTAATAGACAGTTCAAAAAAATACAAATAAATGGTCAATGGACACAAAGGTTCCATTACCAGAATTCAAATAAATTCAAAACTGTTTGATATTATTTTTAGCCTTTTGATCTAGAAAAATGTAATTCAGGTACTCAATGTTGACAATGAAATAAGCACACAACCAACCACTAAGAGGGCAAATTGGTTTGAACCTGATAGAAAACAATTTGGTCTTCCACCGGATATTCTACACTATTCTACTAGAAAAAGGAAAGATGCACCAAAATATATGGTCATGGGTATGAATGACATCATAATTAGAAATAAACTGTGGACACTGCATAAATTGGAATTAAATACCAAGTTTTAAAGATTATTTAATGCCACAAATAAATCTTTACCATACAAAATTAAGAAGGATTGAGAATTCAAAAGTATTTCATTTTATAGAAAAAAAAATGTGCCCATGCACGTGTGCAGAGTTCTAGAGGAAAGACAACCAAAATATCAGCAAGTGTACTTGGCTAATAAAAATAAATCCTTATTCCTTTTTCCCTATAGTTTTAGATTTCTTACAGAAAAAAATAATCTTTTCTAAAAAACCCCAGCAATAACCAATAGTCATAACGTGTAACTCTTCTTAGGCCCTCACTCCAAACTGCGCTGTGAAAACACTAAAGCCCAGAGGAAATGTAAGAAGGATAGTAAATACCCAATGACAAGATGAAAACTCTACAAGACTTTTCTCTACAAGGTGGCCCTTGTCTCTGGGCAGCACTCCTGGCTGGGCTCAATTTAGCTTTCAGTGGCAGCGTGTGGGGTACACAAGGAAATCACTAAGGTACCTCAAAATTTAACCACAGAATGGCAATCATGGTCATCAACTAAATTCACAAAGTCTGGATCCTTTTTTTTTTCAAAGTTAACACTGAACTAACAATGCTAATGGGAAGAGTGGCTTAAAGAAGTAGTCAGGCCCAACCTTCCATCAGAATCACCTGGAAGGCTTGCTGGAAACCCCATCCCCAGAGTTTCTAACTTTACAAAATAGGTATAGAAATGAACGTGGGGGACTGCATTTCTAACAAGCTCCCAGGTGCTGAGGATGCTGCAGTCACTCTGACAACAGTCCCCCTAAAGTTTGGAGATAGATATGTTTCACATGCATCACCTCCAACAGCAAGAACTTTAAGAACTTCCCTTAAAAACACTCCTGCCTACAACAACAAAGGTGTGTTTGGCATCGCCTCCATGCATTTAAGAATAACTATCTCAACAGAAGCAGCTCGGTAGAGCAGTCACCTACAGGATGAACACTGGCTCCGGAGCCAGACTGCCTGGTTTGGGACCCTGCTCCGCCGCTTACTACCTGTAATGACACCCCACTAACTCAACCTATCTGCTTCAGTGCCTTCAGGTTTGTGAAATAAGATTGTTACAGCTCCTTTCCCTCCAGCAGGACAACTGGAAATGGGTGCCTAATAAAATCAGTTAAGTCCTCACCTTCCCATTTGAATGCACATGCATTTGGAAAATCTACCAACAGCAAGTGCTTGGAGAGTTCCCTGCCCTGCCTAAAGTTAAGGAGAAAGTTGCCTACTGCATTATTATTTACAGTAACCACAGGCATATTCCTCCTTCAAGGCCCCTTTCCTTAAGGGCCACCAAACTGCCAAGAGATGTAGCTACAGGCACTGAATACACCAGTCAAAACAAGTATAGGAGCTCCCATCCCCTGGGGATCACCTAAGCTGTCCCATTTAAAAAAAAAAAAATGAAATATCAGAGTTTGTGGGAAAGATGACTGGGTTATGGTCCAGAAACAAAACATCTAATAATCAACCAAGTGTGATTAAAGCCCAAAGGTTGAGGCCCACCTACTTAGTGCCAGCTACTAGATGGGAAACTTTAAAGAGCTTCACCTCTCTGAGCTGTTCTCCATCTGTGTTTCTTCCCAGCTCAGAGGCCCTTTAGTGGTTTCAGGACCAAAGGACTCCTGCGCAGACCTTTCCTAAAGGCTAGAGATCCGGATAAGACGTCCAAAGGATTCAGGAACCCCATCCCCACAGTGGTCCTCAAAGGTGGGGGTGGAAATGGTCCCAACAAGAAAAGAGGCTGGTCAAATACATACTCCAGTCGAGACTGTCTCAACCAAAATCAAAACATGTTCAAGAATAGTGTCCCCACATTCATTAAATAAAAATCATTAGTCTTTTTAACCACATGGAATTTGCCACAACTAGATACCACAACATACGGAGAGAGGGAGAGTCACGGTCACGGACACACGGTAAGAGGGAGACCAGTGGCGCTGGAACACAGCTGTTACCTAAGGAACACAGGAAAAGGCGAGGACTTTATTGGAAGATGGCAACGGTCTAGGGTTTATTTAAAGGAAGCTGTTTCTAAGTTGCTAGCTTACGGAAAAAAAGGGGGAAGCTTTAGTTCAGAACTGTGAGTTCCTGAGCGGTACGGGTGAAGCCGGCTAAGGGTGGAGCATGCGGTGTCCAGTCCGTTCTCCCACCGGGCGGCGACTGCCCCCGGGCTGACTCCGTTCTCTATCTCCCCGCCTGCTGCTCCCGAGCACGGGGGCTGGCGCGGCGGCAAGGCAAGGTGACTCGGCGCGACCGTCCCCAGGTCCCCCTCCGTGGCCCTGGTCCCCCCGCCCCCGCGCCCATGGACGCAGGCGAGGACCACGCGGCCGGCGTTGGGTGTCTCCACCGCAGCAAGAAGCCGGGCGGCCCGGACGCCAGCGGAAAGCGCTCCCTCGCCCCAACCCTCCGGCCCCGAAGGCGGCGGCGGCGTCAACGCAGCCCAAAGCGGGAGTCGCAGGTCGGGCGGGGTGCTCACCAGAAGAACACGCGCGAGCAGACGTTCGCGTCCTGCAGCGGGTTGGGCTTCACCTCCGGATACACGGGCTGCATCTTGCCAGCCGCGGCGGCGCGGGCCGAGGTCGCGCTGTTCCGGCGCCGGTGCCGCTCCCGCTGCTCCTGAAAGAGCCGCCGGGGATGCTGGACCTCACGCTGCCGCGCGGATCCGCGCCGCGGAGCCGGAGAACCACACGTTTCCGGGAGTGGAGCGCCTGCGGCCCGCCCGGTCCCCGCCTCCCGGGCCGCGCCTCCTCCCCGGGCCTTCTCGGGGGCGCCGATTACGCGAGGCTGACGGATCCCGCCGGGAGCAGCGGGCCAGGTCTGGGGGCGGTGAGACAAAGGGGCCGACGGGTGGACGCTGCTCGGAGCCAAGCGCGGGTGCGAGGCCGGCGCCGTTGGATGAAGGTGGGTAGGCGGGCCGCGCAGCACACCCGGCCGGCGCCTTAGGCGCCCACGTGCTCGCACCTGGATGCAAAGTCGGCCTCAGTTTGTGCTTTCAACCCAAGCACCCACCCGGAAGGTGGAGAGGGGAGGCGCCGGCTCTGCCCGCCCCTGCCGCTCAGAAACGCCCCCTCAGCCGGGGCTTTCTGAAGACCCAGAGAAATCTGGCAGAAGGTGTTTGCAGCCTGCCCTCTGGGCACCCTGCCCTCATCAGGACCAAACTAGGGTGCTGTGGGAGGTTCTCCAACTTGCGGCCAAACATTTGACCTCGAACAACAGCAGGGCTTAGCACAGATTATGTTTATAGAGCTGCAAGACCCAAAGAAAAATAACAGGATTAGAAAAAAATGATTTTGAAAGATGAATGCATGCTGTCATTGGGGACAGGCTTTTGGCATCTCACAGGTTGCACTATTCGGAGAACTTCTGTGAGCTTTTTGCTGCCCTCATAAATTGGAAAAGGGGAATATGAGGGGAGAGAGACTGCCTTATGATTTCTTTCATCATGTGCTCAGATCCTAGTGGAATAAAGATATGTTACAAAACACCCATTTATGCTCATTTCTGGAGACCTTATCTCACTTTAATTCCAACAATGCCCTATTCAAGAAGATATTAATGTCCCTATTTTACAGACAAGAACAATGAGGCTCAACAACAGAACTTGTCCAAGGCATTCAAATTAATAAAGTCCTCATTTGAACTCAAGTGAGAGTCCAGCATGGTCTTGTCTCACTGGTGAATGGACAGTGTGTGTGACAAGTGCCTAGAATATGCTGTTTGAATGAATGAATGACTATAGGGCCGAATGAACAAATCTTGGTCTCCCACTTAAGTATTTAATTATGTGTGTAGCCGTCTTAACCAGCTCAGCAGCTACTCTTCCCTTCCAGCTTAAATGAAGACCAAACTTCTTGGTGCTGATAACAAGACCACTTTATTATTATTGATAATTTCCCATATGCCTTGGCTAAAATAGTATTATTAATAATGGCTTCTAGCTTCAGTTCTACTTCCAAAATGAGGAATTTGCATGCCAAAGTTAGAAGTCTAGTAACTTCCCTTGTCAGTTGCCCCAGACCACTCTACCGAGTCCCCACAATTATCTCAGAACCGTAGTTAGCAGTTTTCAAACTGTCAAAACCACTTCAGCCTCATTTCTTTGAAACTTTTGAGATTTTTTGAAACTTCTTAGAGTTCTATTCTGAACACTGACTAATATGCTATTTAGAAGAGTTACTGAGAGAACCAGTGTTGGATTGTACAGGGAAGATTGGATCTGGAGTCGGGACCAGAGATTTAAGATGCTTCACTTACTACCCAACCTTTCTCAGGTGTAAAATGAGAATCAAAATCCCCACCCTTCCTACTTCCTACAGGGTTACTGTGACCCTCACAACTTGTGAATGTACTTTGTAAAACCTAAGGCAACATATAAATAAAAGAAGCTCTTTTTTTTTTTCACTGAACAGATGTCTAGTGAATGCCTTCTAGGTGCATGGCCACTAGGCCGGACATGGAGCTTACAAACATGGGGCAGGTGTCGTAAGACCTCTGTCTGCACTTCCTGATCTTAAATGGTTCAATACTAAAACTAGAAAGAAAATAACAAGTATTGAGAGAGATGTGGCAAAACTGAAGCTGTCACAGGTTGCTGGTGGGAATGTAAAACGGTAGAGCTGCAATGGTACATGTAACCCAGCAATTCTGCTCTTAGGTATCCACCCCAGATAAATGAAAACACATGTCTACATGAAACCTTACACACAAATGACATAGCAGCGCTATTCATAAAAATCCAAAAGTGAGTTGAGGGTGGGAGGAACCAAGTGTCCATCAACTGATAAATGGATAAATTACAACATGGTATTACAGGCAATGAAATATTATTTGGCATTTTATTAAAATGGTAGATATACTGATGCATGCTACAATGTGGATGAACATTGAAAACACTATGCTGAGTTAATGAGGCCAGCCATTGACTCCAGTGAGGAGGATAAGGCACCTTCTAAGGAGATATTCAATCTTGATGGACTTGATGATTCATTCTCAAACCTCAGGGACACATGATGTAAATGTGTACCTGTGCCAACTATAAATTATTAAATGGTCTACAATATCTTGTCAGATAGTCAAAGCGTCAAGTGTTAAATCTGCAGTGGCTATAAGAGCAGTACTAAAGTGGTTCAGCTAAGACAGTTCTGGTCCTCAAGCATGTTTCTGCCAAAACATGTAGGATGAATGGCATTCACAATTTCAGCATAACCCCTGTGGCTATCCACAATTCTGAATATGGTGACAATTTCTCTGTCACTCCACCTTCTAGTAATAGATCTACCTCTGTAACCTCAGGAGTTGGCACCCAACTTAAATCTATCCAACATAATATGCCATGTCCATGTCCGAAGTGTTTGGCCCAGAGAAAACCTCAAGGTCCACGCCAGGCCAACTGGCTTTCTTCCTTGAGGTTTGTTTTGTTTTGTTTTGTTTTGTTTTCCTGGAGCTAGAAAAGGAAAAGCCTCTCTTTCCTTTCTGGTGACGAAGTTATAAAGATATGACCCATAACTGCTGGTGGCCATGTCCCCCATTTATATGAAGAGGCCTGAAAGAATAAAGCAGGTACCCAAAGGAAAGTCACATAGTCAATAGCTATTTATTAAACACCTGCTGTGTGCCGAGACTGTTCCAGGAGCTAGGGATACGTAAGTGAACAGGATGAGTGGTATAAAGGAGAGTCCTGGTGGCATCAAGTCTCTGGGATCCTGAGGATAATAGGATCTCTACTTGGATTGTGTGACCTGCTGTAGCAGAAGCTTCACTTCTGGACACTTCTCCAGGACTAAGGCAGCTCACTGCTTATCTGCAACTCTCTGCTCAAGGGCTGTCTTCTGCCAAAGGAAGCACATTGGGGCCATAGGCAAGGCAAGCCAAAACCCTTGAATTCAACCATTGATGAATGCGGAGTTGGTAGATAATTTCCCCAGTCTCTTTGCCTGTCAGATGGAATAACTCTGTCTCCCAGGGTTACCCAGCAGGAAGGAGCCCAGTTGCCTCAGTAATAACTTGCTTGCTAACACACTTTTATTGGCTTCCTTCTCTTCTCTGTCTCAATTCTCTACTCCCTACAAGTGCCTTCCTGGGATCATTTACAAAATAAACTACTTCCACTCAAATCCTTATCTTAGGGTCTGCTACTGAGGAACCCAAACTAAGACACCTACCAGGTACATCCTTCCAATTACTGAAAAATACACTCATTCCCTTGTACCCATACAAGTCCTAACTAATACTATAAACCCTGAGTTGTCAAGTACAGTAGCACTATTCACATGGATTGTGAGCACTTGGTTCAAAATGAAATGTTTTAATTGTAAAATATATGATAGATTTTAAAGACAGTATAAAACTTTTTTTTGGTCTTATGAACCATTTTTACGTTGATTACATGTTGATAGTATTTTGGACACATTGGTTGAAAGATATCTTACTAATATTACTTGCACTTACCTTACTTTTTAACGTGGCTACTACAAATTTAAAATTACAGATGTGGTTTACTTTATATTTCTATGGATAGCACGGCTATAACCAATGGACAGGCTCTAGCACCACAAATTTCTCTCCCACTCAAGAAAGCAAATGAATAAGGTTCATGTTATTATACAGATAACTTTGAATATGATCTCATTCATGAAAAGAAGTTATCCTCAGATTTCAGAACTTTGCTATTAGTAATGATAATTTGTGTCACTTCCCACTGAACTTCAGTCATGTTTGCATTATGTCACTTTTGTAGAGAGCCACTGGCATAAATAATTAAGTAAAACAGCTCACAAAAGCCAATTTGGGTCAATATGTTCTATTTGGTCTTCTTTTGGGGTGTGATAATAATACTGGAAGCTTGAGTTATTTTGTTTTCAGTCTTTTGGAAAACTAATCCATTATTGAGATAAGTTGTTCAGAAACCGCTGAGTTGATAACGATGTGCTAAGAAAAGGATATACCTGAAAAGAAGAAATCCCTGCTTTCGTTAGGGACTCACACTCTAGGAAACGAATAGGTAAAAAGAAAATTACAGCGAAATCATACAAATAATAAAATAAATGTACAAACATATTCATTTGCACTTATTAAATTAGCAATACTTTTTAAAAAACAATACCACATGCTAATGAAGGCACAGGGTGATGGGCTCTGTAATATATTCTTTGTAAAATGAAAATTAGAATAGACTTTTCAGAAAACAATTTGGTAATATTTATGAAGAGTCTTAAAAATGTTCATCCTCTTTGATTCAATTTGACATAGGATTTCCATTTATAAGACTATTAAGGCAAAAAGTCAGTATAGACAATTATTTATGTAAAATTTGTTTTTCAGAGCAGTACTTATAATATTATAATAGAATTAAGAAACATCCTAACTTCTAAGTTCAGCAATGGCAGAATGATTAAATGTCATGAATCATTTTTAAACAAGTGCTTTTTGAATACCTACCATACATCAGTCACCCTTCAAAGCACTGGGGATCACTGGTAAACAAGGGATAAAAGATTTATCTTCTCACGGTGGGTGTTTACATTCAAGTAGTGGGAGATAGACAGTAAACAAATAAATGAATGAACAAGATAATATCAGGTTTGATGAGGGCTATGAAGAAAATAAACAGAAGTGAAAGAGAATGGTGGGGGATGGCTGACCAGCCCTGATTTAAACTGAATAGTCAAGAGGGCTGCTGTATTTTGATACATTTATCAAAATTCATCAAACTGTACATCTAAAATATGTGTAGATTACTGTACTGAAATTATACCACAATAAATGTGTTAAAAAAAAAAAAAAGGCTGCTTAGACAAGAGACTTGAGCTGAAAGAGGAAAACCAAGAAGGAGCCAGGCCTGTACAAATCTGGGAGCAAAAACAAAAAAAACAAAAAACAAAGAATAAAAACAAAAAGTCCATGGTATTGGATAAGATAATGTGAGTGACTATAGATTAAAAAGTTA